AGAGAACGGCATAAAAACTGCAGAAAAAGACACTGCGCACAAAAGACACTGCGCACAAATTTGTTTTTTGCAAAATGGGAACAGAAACGGAATGGCAACCGATTTTAGCTTTTGTTGAATATCTTTTTTAGTGTTTGATCAAAGACTATGAGCCAAATTTTTCTGGTAGCGTTAGATTTGTGTGTTTTGGTGGCATTTACCCAGAACCCCCTTTGCCATAGTCCACTTTCTGCTTCCGGAGTGGTTTTCCATCTGCTTGGTGTTCACATATGTAGTGGAACCGCGCCAGAGTTGATTGCAACAAAACCCAGATCTGGGTTTGTAAGCTTTTGGGCCGTTTAAAAGTTTGATTGATGCGGACAAATCAAACTTTAATGTGCACCAATAAACAAAGAAACAAACACACCTCCCAAAACACACTGAACTTTCCAGCTGAACAGACTAGTTTGATTAAACAAGACTAGTGATAATTTACCCTAAATCTGTGTTATCAGGATATTGTGGTGCATTTATATATTTTTGGTTATCTTAAAGGCGTCAGTCCTTCACCCAGTGTAATTCTGCCTTCTGCAGACCACAGTTCACGCATACACAGCCACCCAGAAGACAGTGGACGGCCCCAGCGCCAAGGCCTGGCGTGACGGCCGCGGCGCCCACCAGAACATCATTCCAGCTTCCACCGGCGCTGCCAAGGCTGTGGGCAAAGTCATTCCTGACCTCAACGGGTACACGACTGCTCTGCTGCTAATTCTGTCTGAAAGCAACAAAGCAACAGGCTCTAATCTTTCTCTCGTTCTCTTCTTCTAGCAAGCTGACAGGAATGGCTTTCAGGGTGCCAGTGGCGGACGTGTCCGTCGTGGACCTGACCTGCCGTCTGTCCAAGTCCGCATCCTACGCCGAGATCAAGGAGGCCGTCAAGAAGGCCGCACACGGACCCATGAAGGGAGTGCTGGGCTACACTGAAGACCAGGTATTTTCCTGAACCTTTAGCTTTTTATTTATATAAAACTGAGGTCTGTTTCTAATCTACAACGTTGGCGTTTGCCAGGTTGTGTCCTCTGATTTCGTCGGAGACACCCACTCCTCCATCTTTGATGCTGGCGCCGGCATCTCCCTCAACGACAACTTTGTCAAACTCATTTCCTGGTGAGTTTCTAACATAAAGCCTGTGGAGCAAGAACCCTTCCTAACCTATGAGATGCACTGAAATAAACTAAAAAATTAAAGTTAACTTTTACTTACCTTTGTTTTTCCTTGCAGGTATGACAATGAGTACGGCTACAGCAACCGTGTCGCTGACCTGCTGCTGTACATGTACTCTAAGGAGTAGACACTTCCTGTCCTGAGAGGAAGTGAGCAAAGGGACCACCGCTAACCATCATGAATCCTTCCCTTCTCTTTTACACTAAAGCCCCATCCATAGCCAAATCATAGCATCTTTAACCCCTGTAGCTCTACTACAGTTTATGTAGGCAGCAGCAAATGTGTGTTTGAGTGTTTTGAGTTCATCTGTGTTTTCCTTTAATGACAAGGCGACGATTCAGTGAAAGTATTTGTGTCCGTGTTCCCCTTCTCCTACTCCCACGGCTGATTTAGATGTGTAATTATGACTGAGTACTATGGTAACTACTGTATCCATCTCACTGTTAGTGTGATTTTAAAAGCTTCGTCACCAGAGGAAGGAGGAACCTGAGCGGCAGACCTACTGTTACTCTAATTATGATTCAAGAGATGACAAAATAAAGTTTGAAAAAACCCTCAACTCCTCTGTCATGGTCCAGCTTCATTTCTTTAGAATGGATTAAATGTTTAGTTTGTGTGTAAAATTGACTGAAAGGGCTAAAAGATGCAGAGTTTAAAGCAAATGTTGTGGCTGAATGCCTAAATACGCCAAACAAATCCAGGAAAGCTTAAAGATGATGGACGATAATTTATTAAAAGTGCCAAGTTATTCCTTCAGGCTTCCATTTTCTGGCCAGCCAATCAGCTAAGAGAGGATCCATTTGATTGAGAATAGCTCATTTATAAAATACCATCAGGTAGAAGTAAAACACACTTTTTCAAAAGTATTTTAAACTTGTAAACCTTTGCAGAAGTAACAGTTTGATTGCAAAGTATGGCTTACTTTTGTTTTTTTAAATTACACACCAGAAAGAGGTTAAAAAACAAAAGCATAGCCTCAAGTATAAACTCAAACAGCTGAATATCTTTTATAAGGTAATTATTGTACTTAATTTCTCAACACAGCCTGCACACCCACCTCATTAGGCTCTCCTGTCCATACTTGTTAACACTAACCCATCTTCATCTGGCTGCTTCCGGTTAGGATTATAGACCATAAGACTCAGATTCTCCACAACACAAAGCAGTTCTGAAGGAAACAGCCGCTCTATGTAACCCTGTACTTGCTACCTGCACCTAAATATGTATTTATGGATGAATGTATTTATTTTGGTCTACATTCCTCAGAGGTTTAAATTGCAATACTGGAGAAACACCGACAGGTGGAGCCAAAACCCACTGATCCAATAAAAGTTCCTCTAACGGTGGTGGCTGATGCACACAAACAAGTTTCATCTGTTTTACGCAACACCTGGAAAGTCTTAATGTTGTGAAGATCCAATACCTAGAATTACCTTTATAAACAGTGGACCTTTTCATAAATAAATATATTTTAAGGCCATGTTGTAACTCTCATCACCAAATGTAGTATAATCCAAAATATATAAGAAAATACAACTTTCAATATGTTAATATATACTTAGAAAATGTTTATACTGACTACAAGACTACAAAAACAAAAGGTATTTGCTTTGGTTAATTATTTTTTTTAATTTTCTGACAATAGTCATAGAGTGAGGACTCTAACCCGGTGGAAAACCCCTTTACTTTATTTCCCTTAGATACTTTGTGTTTTGGCCTTAAATCTTGGTAATATGAAGGATCATGTGTGGGCTGTTTGTGACCAACAGAGCCACCTGCTGGATGAAGGAGGTATTACATCAGACAGCAACGGATGATGAAGCTGGCATCATCAGAAATAGGTGCCTGGATTTTAGGTTTCTGTACAGATCAAACAAGCTTAATGTATATATTTATATAAACTATTGGTCCTATTTGTACTAATGAGAAGGTACTAGCATTTTTTTTAACGTTAATTAGGTGTATTTTCCCTACTTAGATTAAAAAGTAGGGAAAAGTTGTTGTTTTTAATTTTAATTAATTTTAATCGTAGAACTTTGAAGAGATGTCCAAAATGACAAACACCACCATACACACACCATATGAAATTCAAAACCACAAATGGTCTAATTTAATTATTGCAACAGTTCTTTGGTAAACAGTGCACTTATTCTAGTATTTTCTACAACATTTTCATGCAATCTAAACTTCCTGATTACAATAAAAGCAAATGAGGCACTCGATCATCGCGTGTCTTCTGAAAAATTCAAATCCTGTGTTTTACATGTAGCCTGATATCACCGTCAGATCTCAAAGGCTATACGTCGAATTAGGTAAATTTGAATCAAATATGGAGGAAGACAGCCTTTTAACAAATGCTCAAGATTTGATTGACTTAACTTCTCTTTGCCTATTATAGACGTTGCTGTTTACATGCTGAGCTCTATAATCTCTCTGGCGTGCCTCTAATGCACAAGTTGGAATGTAATAGATATGCAGTGTCCACCTGCTGTATTGGAATATTCAATATTATTGTATTGAAGCAAAAACCTCTGATGCTTTTAATTCCAATGCTGCTGACCATCGTTGTGATCAGAGGGACCAGTCTGTCATCAGTTTGTAGGTACTTGATTGTTTTAACCAACTTAAAGAATGAAATCATTGTAAACTTTGTCTTTGAAGTGTTTTCAGTCATCTGATCACATTACGGTTGAGTTAGTTGGTACTGTTTATTTACAGTACCAAGGTTTCAGTACAGCCTGAACACTTTCCTTTCTTTCACATGTTGTCACATTACACCACAAGTTTCACATATTTCTGGCTTTAATGGAATATTACCTGATAGGCTCACAAAAGAATCAAATAAAATTTCGATTGAATATCTATTCAGCCCTCTGAATAAAACGGTGTGCAACCATTTTTGTTGCCTTGAGAACACTCCTTCATAGCGAACTCAATCCCATGTTGAAAAAGACTTGAGACTCGGGGGAAAGTTCACCTTGCCACAGGAACATCAGCTACAATAGTACGGTTCAGACCACATGCATGTGTTAGAAGGGCCTAGTTAAAGTCCAAATTAGAATCTGATGTTCACAGGCACCCTCCATACCAACAATGCTGAGCGAGTTGTCAAAAAACATAACCCACATAATTATAAAGCTGTTACAGACATAACCCCCCCAAACAAATGTGGCTGCATCAAAAGGTTGCCATGTTTCCTTCTCCATCCACCTTACAGATTTGCACTAATTTGTGTTGCTCAATCCTATGAAATGATAATAATAATAATAATAATAATAATAATAATAATAATAATAATAATAATAATAATAATAATAATAATAATAATAATAATAAATAAATAAATAAATCTCGAGTGGTTTGTGACAAACTCTAATGAAGCTACCGGGATGTGAAGCTTTCAACACAAACGATTTTCAATTGGGATGATTTGAATAAAATGCAATAAAGTCAGTTTTGACAATCTTGTAAGACCGCATTACAACTTGATTGAAATAAATTTGTTTTTATTCATCTCAAAATCAAAACCAATTCTGTTTATTCCTGGTTATTCATTTAGAAATGCACCGGTGAAATCTGGAGAAGGGTCCAATTTTAATCCACGCTGTCGTCCTAAAGTCAAAAGTTGTACCCATGTAAATGTTGCTTCTGTCGTGATTTCCCTCCAAAAGCAGGCGAGGAAGCGATGTCACTGCTCTGCTGGATGCATTGAGGTGTGTCTAAGTGACACTGACCTGTACGCTGGTATAAAATGACAGCACCGACACGTCTGACTTGATGCGACAACAGGAGTAAAGATGGGGAGGAAAGGCTGCTCTGCTCTCATGCTTCTCCTCCTCTTTAACGCTGTGGCCTGGATGGAAGCTGAGGTTCAAATAACCATTTACTTTCCTCCTCAGAAGCTGACATGGGAGGCAGCAAGAGAGTACTGCCAGAAGTACCATATAGACATGGTCACCTGGAACACGGTGGACCCAAACCTGCTGACGACGTGGCTGCTGGAAAGAGGCTTCACTACTGTCTGGATTGGTTTGCACGAGGATCCTGAGGAGTCATTGGTCTGGAGGTGGATCAATGTGAAGTGAGTTTCCATTCGATGACATAAAACATGATGAAATGCTGAAGATAACGCTCACACCATTTCTGTCTTTTTCTTCAGAACTGGTGAAGGCTTGACGGGTGATGACGTCTCCGCCAGCTGCAACGGAAGCTTTACGCCTGGACTCGGCGGCAGCTGTGGCTCCTACAACAGCCTGACCAAACAGTGGGAGGGCATCCAGTGCTTTTTACAGAGGCCCTTCATCTGCTACGCTGACAACCTGGTCGTGGTGACAGAGAACAAAACATGGGAGGATGCTCTGAGTCACTGCAGGGAAATGACAAACGCTACCTTCAAATACGACCTCCTGAGCGTTACCAACTCGTCTGACTACGGCTACGTCAGCGACCGGATCTACAGAGCCACCACAGACGAGGTCTGGAACTTCTCGCACAAAACCGTAACATTTTCAACACGAGTAGCTACACTGGTCTGGATTCAAGGTCAAATATCTTAGTACGCCTAAAATAATATGAAACTAACTTAAAGGTAACTTTTCAGTATAGGAGCCTGTTTTAAGTCAGTTTAATATTGATGAAAGAAAGAACTGGTTCCACTGGCAGATTATTTCATTTATAACAAGACATTTTTTCTAAATAGTGAGTGAAATTATCTGCCGCTGAAACTAGTATTTTTTTTTTCAATATTACAAAAATGATTGACTCAAAACAAGGTCCTGCTTCTTGCTGAAAAATGTAAGTTAGTTTTGTCGTTCTTCTAGTCCACGTAGATATTTGCACTAGGAACTAGACCAAAAACACTTGCTAATATTTTGTGTTTTTGCAGTGTGTGCGAGTTCATTTCAATATTCTTCAACTCTACCAGGTTTGGACAGGACTGCGTTTTCTGGGAGGGGAGTGGTGGTGGTCGGACGGAAAGACGTTGGACCACCAGGAGATGCTGCCGGACTGTCCGAACCAGCGGAGACACTGCGGGACCGTCTCCAAATGTAGCACACCTAACAGGACCAGCAGGGACTGCTCAGAAAGAAGAAACTTCATCTGCTCTCACGAAAAAGTTGCAAATCGGGATAAAAATGTGCTGGCCTCTGCACTCTAGATTCGGATAGGTCCAATCTTGCTTTCTGCATACGCAGGCTTTTGTTCTGATAGACAAATCGAGTTTATTAGAAAAGTTCAGACATGTCCAAAATGCCAGTTTCGTAATTCACACAGGAAGATCAGAGAGGTCATATCACATGCATGTATTTAGGCTGATTTCAGGGCTGAGAAGGATCATTTGGATGAACATTCATTGGGAGCAAGCTTGACTTATGCCATTAAATTTGACCCGTTGGTTTCTGTCATACGACCGCTCTGGGGCGCAGCGGGAAAAACTTTCTGCAACAATAACTTTTCATGTTCTTCCAGCATGCATCCTCATTGGACACTCCGATATGTGCATGTTATGGTGACTTCATCTCTCTCAAGTGAGCCTGGCTGTTTCTATTGTGTGCAGATTTCAGCTTTATCAAATACAACTCAGTTAAGTTTAATTTAGTTTGACTACACTGAATCAAAACCCATTGAGTTCGTCTGAAAGTTAAATGACCTGAAGGGAAATGATTTGAATAGAACAGGACTGAAATCAACAGTTTATTTGAATTCAACTAAACCAAATTAAAATTGTATGAATGAACGTTAAGCATTAAACTAAAGTTTGTAACTCCGTCTTGAATCTCGAGTGTACCTATTTTTTATTTTATTTTATTTTTGCACCCTCTGTATTCTTAGAATATTAGTGTGATGATTAGATATATGATAGCTGTAATGTTGACTGAATTAAAGGAGAAAACCAATAATGTGTCCTATGTTGTTTTGGCATCTTGAGAACCAAAAATGAGATCAAACAGACAAATTAGAACTGGGAGGCAGAAAGATGAAACCCAGAAAAGTGGAATAATTAGGATATATTCTTAATATGATAGTTTTAGACATCTAACCTGCAATTTTTAGCTCAATTTATCAACATTTATGAGGCACTAGCAGTGGTGACATGCTTGAAGAATTGCCTTTAAATACATCCAATACAACTGAAAATCAATTTATTAAAACAAGCCGTACTAATTCAGGTCAGATTTCTGCCTCAACTTTCATGCCTCCTGTTTGGTTGACGATGATCTACCTGGTAAGTGACACACAACCAAATGTTAATAATAAACAATCCTAGCAGTGAGAAGGAGCATTCTCTTTAAATCATCTGCCTTTGACAAATTTTGTTACACACATTTATGTCTGTTAACATTTATTTTGGATTGATTTTGAGGATTCAGACCAAATTTGACATTTCAATCGATTTTTGGTTTGTTTAAAACACATTAATTTAACATTTTTGTAAGCAAATGACAATTGCTTTCTTATTTGCTTTCAAAGATTCAAATGAAGCGTTTTACATGTAGCCCGACCAGCCGCACAAGCCCAAAGGCTATTTTGAATGCAGAAAATTTGAATTAAATACTGCACAAAAATGACTTCCACTGTAAGACAGAACATGGCATGTGGCTGGGATCTGGTTCGATATTGTAAGTGTTTCTGTCATGCTGTTGTTGACAGGAAATCATGGACCGGATTTCATTAATAGCTACAATTACTGCTTTTCTGCCTGTGATTTTAACTGGTCCCACATGAGTGACTCAAACAGCATTTTTGTGTCTTCACAGATTGAGACACATAGATATAATTTTTTCAAAATCCTTTTTCAGCATTTGATCTGCTGTGATCGGGGCCTACCAAAGACAACTGATCGATTGACTAGTGCATCAGTGATGGTTTCTTCTAAACAACATTTTGCTTGCAATCAGAAGTAACCACAGTCTCTACTGCAACTTTAAATCGACAAACCATCCCAAAGGATCCTTGGAGCAAACAAACAGATTAAATATCCAAGTTCTATGTTATATAATGGTTGAAATCCTTCTGAAAATAATCATCTCGTTTAAGGGTGCAAAACCTTTGTGCATGTGTGTGATCGTGTGTATTTCTCTAGCTATCATATTTAGGATCACTTCTGGCATTCTTACTAACCTGAATTAGGTTTTGGTGAAGGTTAGGGTCAGGAAAAGACTAGTAATGTTTGGGTTAAGGGAAAAAGTAGCAGCAAATAAAGCTGCTACAAAGAACACAAGTCAGCGCAAAGTTATACTATGGAAAAAAATACAAACGTGTGTGTGTTGTTTTTTAATATATATCTATATTTTCTACCTGCTTTTATTGTGTCAAATAAGGCTGAGATCATTAGCATGTCAAATTGAATCATTTAACTGGAGGCAGATTTTCATACCAGCCATGCTTTGTAAATGAGGACAATTTAAATAAGCCATCAAAGCTACTGAAACATGCATCACTGCATTTGGATCTGTTTTCTTTGTTTATTTGACATTATTTTCACACATAAAAGCTAAATTATTAATAGGATTGATTGTGTGTGATCCCTCCATTAGTGTTTCTCTCAAATCAACTCGAGTTCTGATCTCTTCTGCTCCCGAGTGACTGAAACGGATCTGAATACGAACAGAAACAATTCGCTGAAAATGTGTGGCGTTACAGAGAATGAAGACGAGAAAAGTCATCCGAAAAGGCAAAGGGCTTGATAAAATGTCAAACTGAAATATTTGTCCAGGAAAGATCTTTTGTTAATTTGCAAATTGTTCTTCTTGAAACTGGATAAGATTTATTAAGCAAATTTTAAATGAATATATTCAGTATGTCGTGTTTGGTGTTGAGCAGGGAAGAATGACCCAGGTGTTGGTGAAATTTCTCCAACAGCAGGTAGGGAGATGCTTTTACTGGTCAGCTGGATTCACTGAGGCGTGTCTAAGTGACGCTGACCTCTACACTGGTATAAATTGGCATTTTTCTCTCCGGCTGCTGACACACCGGACTTGATGCGACAACGGGACAGGAAATGGGGAAGAACAGCCGTCCTGAGTTGATGCTGCTGCTCCTTTTTAATGCTGCTCTTCAGACGGAAACCAGGCTCATAAAAACCATTTCCTTTATGTCTCAGCAGCTGACATGGACCGATGCAAGACAGTTCTGCCAGACGAACTTCGTAGACATGATTACTTGGGACATAATAAACCCGACCCTGCTGACGACGTTGCTGCAGCAAGTAGAACTGACAGAAGTCTGGGTTGGTTTGCATGCGGATCCTGAGCAACAGTCTGTCTGGAGGTGGATCAATGTGAAGTGAGTTTCCTTTTTGGTGCAATCCTTATGTTTATAACAGAAACAAATGTTACATCATTTTGGAATTTTTATTTTTTATTTTTTTCAGAACCGGTGAAGGTTTGACAGGAGAGGATGTTTCAGAGAGCAGTTATTGGGCCAGTCAACCAAAAACCAGCAACAACTGCGCCTCTTATAATAGTGAAAGAAAAAAGTGGTCCGGCCGTGTTTGCTCTGAAACTCTTCCATTTGTCTGCTATGGAGACAATCTGGTGCTGCTGACTGAGAACAAGACATGGGAGGAAGCCATGGGTCGCTGCAGGGGAATGTCTTCAGCCTCCTATGAGTACGACCTCCTGAGCGTTTCAGCACCGGCTGACTTTAATTACGTCAGAGACCGGATCTACAGAGCCACCAGTGAAGAGGTTTGGTCGATTTTGTCTCTTTCTGTTTCTGCAGTAACCAGACCATAAATATGTTGAGGGTTGATTTTGACATTGCTGTTGAAATCTTGGCTCACGTCTACCAGGTTTGGACAGGACTGCGTTTCCTGGGAGGGGAGTGGTGGTGGGCCAACAGAGAGACGTTGGACCAACAGGAGATGCTGCCGGACTGTCCGAGCCAGTGGCGACACTGTGGCATGCTGTCCAAGAGCAACACAGCAAACTGGACCAGCAGGGACTGCTCAGAAAGAAGAAACTTCATCTGCAATTATGTAAAACTAGAGTAAGAAGTTACCGAACAGCAAGGCATAAAACTAACTCTCAGTCTCTCTATGTACTTTAGGTCAGTTAGAGATATTAAAGTTATTTCTAGTTGCTAGAGAAGTGCCATAATAATGAACACATGTTCCAGTTTGTGGGATATGACTGTATAAGGACTTCTTGTCCACAATATCTGGTGAGAATATTTGGGAATGGTAGTAATTATCATATTCTTCTGGATATTTTTGGCTAGTTGAATGGACTCTGTTGGTCTTATTACTCCCAACAGAGATTCAGACAGAGAGTCTGGATCTCAAATCACTAAACATGGAGAAATTGAATCTAAATGTACTGTATGGTTTGGACTATTCTCCTTCTTCTGCATGGATTTGTGACGTAGGATTTAGGAGAATCGCCATTTTAAACTTGCATTTTATTTTGTGGTGTTTTATCAAGCTGAATTATTTTTTATTTTTGTTTCAAATTAAATTAGTTCATTTGTACTGACTCTGAATTGATTTGATGGATTTTACATTTTGCTCCCGAGAATAAAGTGATTTATTTACTCAGCATGTGAGCACCATGTAACCCGTTTCTTGGCTTTATTAAATGTTTGCGCTTGAGTGAAACCAAGCGCAAGTCCAGCAAGAAAGTCCAGCAAGACCTCAAAATCAGATACAGCAAGACTAAGCAGTTCATTACATTCCCTATCCTGAATATCTTCTCCACTTTTTGGTATAATTATTACTTTGTCATACTTCATACTTTTGTTGAACAGGCCGGGAGCCCATAAAATGTGTATTTAGCTGGTTTTAGGAGCTGGTTTTCTGATGAAATATATTTATCCTCTTAAGTCTAAGCTTGATCTATTTTGAACTGAGGCTGAGGAGGATCATCTTAAGGCTGGAAAACATAACATCATGTCTTGCCTTAATTGCTTGATCTATTCATAAGGAAAACATTCAACAACATCTAATATGTTTTGTTCTTGAGTTTACTTCTTTGATTGCATTGCAAGACCTGTTGATGTTCTTCTGTCAGTTTAGTTGCGTTTTGTCGCCCTCTCCTGGTCATTTTTGAATAAATTAGTTTTTTGGCGTTAAACATGATGCGATAATAATAATAATAATAACAATAATAATAATAATAATAATAATAATAATAATAATAATAATAATAATAATAATAATAATAATAATAAAAGTAGCAGAATATAATAACTGAACAGTTTTCCAGTAATTTGTGGCACTTGAGTTTGATTTTAATTAAGCCCAGGTCAGTTTTTGGTCTCTTGAACAGAAAAATGTTTTTAAACCTTTTTACCATAAAATGAGGGTTTAATTTTCTTTCACGCCTGCACTTAGTGAAAGAATGTAATGTAATTTCACCTATAAAAGATATTTATTTTGAAAATTGGTGACGTGTTAAATTCTTGTTAAATACTTTAATCTGTATACGGATAATATTCAGTAACTTTGAATGTTATTGAAAAGTTCATTTATAATTAACTCTACTTGAAAAAAAAAACATTCAAAAAAATCCTTTGCAGCCTCAAACTAATGACATCAACGTGTTTCATGTCAGTGTTATGACTTTTGAACAATTAAAACTGAGAACTATTATTTTGCTATTGAAATTCTATGTTGTCTGTAACGGAATCGCTCATTTGAACTATTTTCCACCCGAGACTTTATTATTTCATAGATTTTATTTTCACCAATAAGAGACATTGTGTTTGGCTCATAATCGCACTGATTCAAATTCAGTCGTTTACATGTAGCCTGACCTGCCAACCTAAGCATAGAGAGTAGTTTGAATGCAGAACATTTGAATCAAACACGAAGGAACTTGGACTTCTAGAGACAGGCACAGGAGTGAATTTGGTTGAGTTTGTTTGTTTCAGGTCTTGTTCCTTTTGTATACAGTGTTTCTACAAACCCAAGGTGTTTGACATCGGTCCGAGAGAACGTCAAATGGTTTCCACAGCGGTCACAGAGTTCTGTGAGACTCTGAAAACGACCAGTTACAGTGAGTCAGTTGTGTTCAAGCAGGGAAGCATGATAAACACGCAGGGCAGAGCAGCTTCCTCTGTCCTTGTCACGCCCCCAGCATCAGCAACAGTCCCTGATCCTTTCCCAGCCATCACCTCTCTCCCAGTACTTCTCCTCGCATCCTGATGTTTTTCCAGTCTTCCACTTTCATGCTTCTTGATTTTTCATGTTTTTTCTGTGTTGTACTTTTCCCTGGTTATTAGACCATCTGCTCTACCTGCCTTCCTCGTACTCGAGTTGTGATGTTTGCATTAAATCGGAGGAGAAAGAGACTCAGCAGGAGAAATGAACCTGTTGTCACCTGTTGAGTCTCCGCCGCCCCCAGGCCTGCTCACCCAGTTGCTTGTTCTCCACCCAACCAATTCTTAATTCTTCCCCATTTATTCATTTATTTCACGCATTGCTTGGCTAAAATCAGATTCTTACTTAAACAATACTATCAGGTTGCACTATGTTTTTTCTTAGTTGGTGAACTTTTTGATTCTTGTTCAGACTCTTGCTTTGCTGCATCCATTGTCTTGTCTTACCTCCTCCTTTCTTTTGGGTAATCAACATTCAAACTTAAATCTAAGTGTTGTTTGTTTGTGGTGCCCAGTTCAACTGAACTAGACCAAGTTGAGGTTTTGTTAGCTGCCCTGCCTGCTTTTAGTATTTAAATATCCCTTTCAAACTATAGCAGAGCATTAAATCAACACTGTAGGTGGTAATTAGCATTTTCAAATGACCTGAAGTAAGGTTTTCCTTTCAAATACAAATTCAATTTAATTCCAACAACAGCGTATAAGTGCGCTGTGCTTAGTCTGGATTTCTATTTTTTATTATTTTGGGAAAAAACAAAAGTGTAGAGTAATACAAAGTTTTTGTTTAAAAAAACAAAACAAAGAACAAACAAAAAAACTGCTGAAAAGTACACTGTAAAAACACCTTTTTGCAATGTACAAAAAAATACCGACAGCTGTTGTTGCCTGAATTTCGCTGCATAAAATATGTATTTACTTAGTTTATTTTTTTTCTCCGAAGGGTTTTTGTGGCGTTAGAGGAAAGAGGGCAAATGACATGAGGCAAATGAAAGGTCATCGTCACCGGGAGTTGAACCCGTGACATCCATGTCAAGGACTCAGGCCTCTAAACGTGGGGCGTTCTAACCCCCTGCGCCACCACAGCACGCCCCAAAATAGTTATTTATAATGATTTTGTAAATTTGTAAGTATATGGTAAAAGTCTGGCAAGTTTTTTACTGTAAATTAGATGTTTTGGGTATTTTTTTTTACAATGTAAAGGACTAAGGATAAACAATGTGGTATTAGCAAAATTAAAATAAGCAGTCATATTAGTTGTTTGAAAGAGATTCTTCATATAAAACAGATGAAGGACAAATAGGATAAAAAGCAAATGTTGACACAACCTTAAAAAGTGTGGCACATACTGTATAAATGAGTTACCAGGGTGATCATTTCCCTCCATTTCTGATGCAGGGAGTGGTGCTACTGGTATGTGGTGGTGCTCAGGTGTGTCCTGTTGGCAGCACTCCCTGTTGGTGCTGCTATAAATTGAGAGTGGCAGCTTCTTCCCAGCCACTGACATATCTGACTTTATGTACCAGCAGAAGTGAAAATGGGGATCATACTTCTCCTCCTTTGTATGATTGTGTTTTGTTTGGAAGCTAGGCTGATCATATTCATTACTTTTCAATCTCAGGAACTTGCTTGGGACGAAGCTCGACAGTACTGCCAGAAGAACCACATAGACATGGTTACCTGGGACATAGTTGACCCGGACCTGCTGACTATGTGGCTGCAGGAAAGTGGCTACACCGATGTATGGATTGGTATACACAAGGATCCTGAGCAAGAGTCAGTCTGGAGGTGGATCAACGTGAAGTGAGTGAGCTGGTATCAGATTTAAACGTAACAATTAATTCAGTTCAGACATTTAAGATGCTGGTGTGTATGCTTCAGGACGGGTGAAGGCTTGACGGGAGATGACGTCTCACAGAGCAATAACTGGTTCTCTGGTCAGCAAACTGAGCACAGCTGTAGCATTTATCACATCCCAAATAGAAAGTGGTACCGCACAGATTGCTCCTCTACACTTCCCTTCAACTGCTATGAAGACAATCTGGTGCTGGTGACTGAGAACAAGACATGGGAGGATGCTCTGAATCACTGCAGGAACATGACAAATGCAAACTATACGTATGACCTCTTGAGCGTTAGGCATTCGTCTGACTTCAGCTACGTGAGAAATCAGATCTATAGTGCCACCACCGAGGAGGTCTGGGAATCGCTCGAGAGATTTGTTCTTGTTCTACGAGGTTAGAGTTGTGAACTTCGTTTCATTTGCCTTGTGTCTACCAGGTTTGGACAGGACTGCGTTTTCTGGGAGGGGAGTGGTGGTGGTCGGATGGAGAGACGTTGGACCACCAGGAGATGCTGCCGGACACTCCGAGCCAGTGGGAGCACTGTGGGACCGTCTCCAAATACAACACAACTAACTGGACCAGCAGAGACTGCTCAGAAAGAAGAAACTTTATATGCTATTATGAAAAAATATTAAAAAAAGTATACATGTAGGAAGAAGTAACAGAATAGCCAGACGATAACTAGCGCTCTCTAGGTGTGCATATATATTTATATACATATCTATCTATCTATAGATAGATAGATAGATAGATAGATAGATAGATAGATAGATAGATAGATAGATAGATAGATAGATAGATAGATAGATAGATAGATAGATAGATAGATAGATAGATAGATAGATAGATAGATAGATAGATAGATAGATAGATAGATAGATAGATAGATAGATAGATAGATAGATAGATAGATAGATAGATAGATAGATAGATAGATAGATAGATAGATAGATAGATAGATAGATAGATAGATAGATAGATAGATAGATAGATAGATAGATAGATAGATAGATAGATAGATAGATAGATAGATAGATAGATAGATAGATAGATAGATAGATAGATAGATAGATAGATAGATAGATAGATAGATAGATAGATAGATAGATAGATATGCACACCTACAGATGTAAGCAGCCATATTCAAAAAGTCTGATTAGTTTTGATTAGTTCTTGTATTTCAATACCTCAGTTTTCTTAGTAGAATACATTACATAGTCTGACTACACATGCTCTAAAGTTTTCATATCTTTATCAATTTTGATTTACAGCTGATAAAAACTTGAAATTTAAGGCTTAAAGATTTCATTCAACCGACGAGAAAAGTTATGCTGCTTAAGCCGGTGGAAACTCTATGGCAGTGAAAGTGACCATAGGAAGGTCATATAACACAGCTGCCTGGACCAGCAGGGACTGCTTGGAAAGAGGAAACTTTATCCATTATAACAAATACATGAAGAAGAAAAGGTGACGCTTTCTTCCCTTGAGCACTGTAGAGTTTTTAACTTAAATATTGTATTTAAAAATATGATATGCCCTTTTCTTGTCTGGGAGTAGCAT